CTGCCATCTGAAAACACATATATAATTACATATTGTTTTTGTGATTCATCATTATGCTTTAATTATGTTCAATTTGTAACAATGAAAATACTTCCTGCATATCAGATATTTGCATTACGATTCATAACAGTAGCAAAATTACAGTTATGAGGTAGCAACGAAAATAATTTTATGGTTGGGGGTCACCGCAACATGAGGAACTGTATTAAAGGGTCGTGGCATTAGGAAGGTTGAGAACCACTGTTCTAGAACATGGTTTGGCCAACTGCTGCTCCTGGCTTTTTTCTTTAAGCACATGAGCTAAGAAGCTCATCATAGATGGGAGGAGGCTAGTTTTCCATCAGTTATTCAGGACTTGAGAACCTGGGAGCTGTGCTGGCTGCACCAAAGGAGAGCTCCCAGAACCCTCTGATCTGTGTGTGGTCACTTTCCTCAAGGCTTCCAGATGGTTAGGAAGCTTGTTCTTCAGGGAGTTCTTTTCTTGCTCAGGGGGTCGGAGGTATTGTATCGCAGTCATGGCGGGTGCTGTTTTCTAGCAGTACCCTCCCCTGTACGAGTCTTGCCATGGTGAACAGGTAGGACTCGTGGCTGCTGAGCTTGTTGCGAAGAGGTCAGGTGCAAACAACATTTCATTAAATGAATGTGTCTACAAAGTTAGTACAGTCACTGGTAATTGTTAGCTTGATCTGACTTCTTCCTTGAGGTCATACACTGGTGCGCACCCCCTTCCCCCCATATGTCTGAAGAGCTAATGATCACATGATGCTTTCTTGGTGATTCTGAAGAGGGTCACTGTTGGGGACTTGCTGGTCTGCACTCCTCTTGTGCTTCGGCCTTGGTTCCTCAATGGAGAATGGCATTTAGAAAACCAAGTCTGGGTCCTGGGTATAGCCCTCAGTGGACAGAGCGAGGAAAGGCCATTTACATACATACAACTTGTAGAGGGAAACTAAACTGACATCTGTGTTTACATTCACCAAAAGCCATGTTTTCACAGGTGTGCCCAGAGATGTAGCTAATAACTGCAGTGCTCGCAATAACCCGTGTAGTGTGTGTTCCTATCCCCATTTCACACAAGAAGAGCAGGCATATGCAGACATTTAGGACTGTCAAGTGAAATGACAGTTGGTTAATCCAGGATCAGCTCTATATCCAAAGCCTTTGTTCTCCCCTTCATACCTTGTCTGGAATGTACCAGGCCCTTTGATGATAGGCGCTAGAAATAGATTGATGACTGATATCTATGTGTTGTTTTAAGGGATATTGGCACTCGGTTTTGGGGGCTGATGTGTGAGTGTCCTTTCTACCCAGCTGAGCTTTGGGAGGAGGGGGAGCAAGGCTGGGTCTGGTTTATCTTTGTATCCAGTTCTTATTTGAACCTTCTTATTAAAATGCTGTGGAACTCGAAACGAGTAAGTACGTACTGTGAAATTGGAGCTCTCCAGTGAAGTGATATCAAAATCTTCTTGTTCAATTTATTTTTTCTACTTTTTAAATCATCAGCTGAAAATGAGAGCACGCCTATTCAGCAACTACTAGAACATTTCCTCCGCCAGCTCCAGAGGTAAAGAGTGTTTCTAAAGAGCTTGTGCTTGGGAACATTTGGGTGTCCTTCTCTATGTCTGAGGTGTTCTTGCCCTCACCACCATCACTTTGCCTTTCACTGGTAATGCCCAATCTGACTGGGTGGGCAAGCAGGTGGGCAATGTGGGGGACTGTCAGAGATGCTGTGATGTAGATGTCATAGCTGCAGCCAGGATGCTAGTTTTGGAATTTTTTGTGTATTCAAAAATACCTACCACAATTTTAAAGAGCATAAATTTTATTTTTTATTGCTAAGAAACAAACTTTGGTCAATTAACGTTTTTATTGTGAAGGATTTTGTATCATTCAGAAATTTAGGTTTTAGGGGTTTCCAGTTTAAATAAAGATGTTTTTGTTTTCAGAAAAGATCCTCATGGGTTTTTTGCTTTTCCTGTCACGGATGCAATTGCTCCTGGATACTCAATGATAATAAAACATCCAATGGATTTTGGCACAATGAAAGACAAAATCATGGCTAATGAATACAAATCAGTCACGGAATTTAAGGTAAATTAATTTAGTTCCTAAAATAATTGTTTGAAAGCTCTGTATTAGTTTATGTCCAGTAAATGCTTCATTCATCTTAGGTCATTTCCAGTTGCAAGTTTTCACAGGTGTTTTTCTGTGTTCGGGTTGAAGTTTCACACAGCATCAAGGAAATGGGTTGGTTGTAATTTTCTTTGTATTTTGGTCTAGAACAGTGATTTTCAATTTTTTTCATCTCATAACATGCATAAACTAATTATTAAAATTCTGTGGCGCACCAAAAAATATATTTTTTGCTGATCTGACCAAAAAATAGCTATAATTTTGATTCATTCACACCACACGGCTATTGTTGTGTTGGGGGCTGTCATTTTATAAAAATTCTTTATTGTTGAAACTATTACATGTCATTTATTTGACAATCTAAGGGAAAAGAAATCAGTGGCCCTGGCCAGTGCACTCAGTGGTTAAGAGCATGGGCCCAGCCCTAACCAGTTTGGCTCAGTGGATAGAGCGTCAGCCTTCGGAGTGAAGGGTCCCAGATTCGATTCCGGTCAAGGGCATGTACCTTGGTTGCGGGCACATCCCTAGAAGTGGGTGTGCAGGAGGCAGCTGATCGGTGTTTCTAACTCTCTATCCCTCTCCCTTCCTCTCTGTAAAAAACCAGTAAAGTATATTTAAAAAAAAAAAAGCATGGGCCCATGCACCGAAGGGTCATGGATTCAATTCCCCATCAAGGACATGTACCCAGGTTGCAGGTTTGATCCTCCATCCCAGTCAGGGTTGGAAGGCAACCAGTCGATGTGTCTTTCTCACATCGATGTCTCTCCCTCTCTGTCTCCACATCTCTCCTTCCCTCCCTTCCACTCTAAAAAAATCAATGGGAAGAAAAATCGAGGTCAGTGCCCCTGACTAAACTAATCAGGTGTTGCATGTTTTAAAAATTCTTGCGGCATAGTGTTTAAAAATATCTGGTTTAGAAGCTGGCGCATAGGTTACATGCTATTTGAAATGCATTTCCTTTTTTTTTTTTTTTTAAGTTCCTGTATTGGCATAATAGAGGCATGTTAGGTCAAGCAAGGATGTGTCTTATTTGGCCTGTTGCCAGAATGGGTATTTTTTGAAATATAATTTTCCTAATTCTTAGTTTTGTTTTGTAACAACTGGGTTTTATAGAATAATAAATTCTTACATCCCTTGAGTGCTTTGCTCTTAACTCCTTTTCTTAGTAACGGCTGTGAGAGGTAGAAAGCGTGAGGGGAATAAAAGCAAATGCTTGGTCACATTGGCAGGAGTGCTATTTAGAAAAGGCCATTAGGCTTTTTTCTTAGGTCTGTCAACTTCAGGAAAAGCTTGGCTTTTCTCTATTTACTGGAGACATCACTGAAAGGGTGTGCTGACCTGCAGAAACAAAACGATAGAGTAGGAGAGTAGGAGAAAAGGAAAGTTTTCACAGGAGGGTCCCCTAAATTCCAGAGGGCAGGTGGTAACAGTGATCCAGGCCATAAAGTCCGCTGCCTTTTCTGACTGAGGCCCCCAATTTGGTCTCTCACCCAGTGACAAAGCCACGGTGGGAGCAATGTTCACCCCATCTCTTGTCCTCAGGAAAGCGGTTTATTTTTTATTGATTGATAAAATTATATGTGTTTTGGGTGTACAGTTCTATAATACGTTATCTGTATAATGTATGGTGTTCACCACACCAAGTCAAGTCTCCTTCCAGCACCATTTATCTGCCCTTTACCCTTCTCTACCTCACTCTACCCCCTTTCCCTCTGGTAATCACCAGGCTATTATCTGTGTCTATAAAGTGTTTGTTTAATCCCTTCATCTTTTTCACCCAGTCCCACATCCCCCCTCTCCTCTAGCAGCTATCAGTTTCCTATCTATGAGTCTGTTTCTATTTTGTTAATTTTATTCGTTAGATTTCACATATGAGTGAAATCACATGGCACTTGTCTTACGGATATGGAGAGAGCATTATGTTAAGTGAAACAAGCCAGTCAGAGAAAGATAAGTCAGGAGTGTGCTGAACCTGACACATTGCGACCTGTGATGGACAGGGGCTTCATAGCCTCAGTTCCAGCCCTGGGGACGCTGGCACAGTGACTTGGTAAGATCCCTGGATAGCATGCGCTATGTTGGTGTGTGGCTTCAGTGGTCATTGTCCATCCTGATGTCTAACTCACCTGTGATAGCTGTGTGCTACATAATTTGGTTAGGATGTTAAAATACTGATGTTTTAAATAATATAAATTGTTCAATAAGACTGTCCATATTTTAGTCTTTTTCTAATAGCACTAGAATAGCTATCTGTAAACAGAATTTTAATTCCATGGAAAAACCACAGAGAGAGAACATATGATTATGTCCACCTCTCAGTTCGCCCTGGACTTTCACTTAACTTAGCTGTTGGTTCTTGCTCCTATTTATGTCTGAGTTCCTCCCCAAGAGAGAGGAGAGGGCTGGAGATGGGAATGAAGCAGAGGGAGCCATCATCTTGCTCTCATGAAGTGTGGGTACAGTAAAACCTCTATATAATGGACTAATTCAGGCAAGGGGTGTCTGTTAAAACCGAAAGTCCTTTATATAATAAAGCAGGTTTTCTAAGTGCGTATGTTAAGAAATTGACAAATTAGTTTATCTGCTTCTGTAGACACATTTGTATAATTAAAATCAAGTATGTATGAAAAGTTTAATTTCACAGAAAAGTTATGTATTATTATAATTTTAAATTTCTACTGAAAAGGTCTAGTAAGTGCGTGCATTAACCAGTCACTGCGAATGAACAAATGCACGTGGCTGGGCATGCCTTAGTGCTAGTTGAAGCATCATGGCCTGCATGCTTTAACGCTGCTGCAAAAAGTCATGCCATGGGGCGACAGAACCAATTACTGCGAGCAGTGCAGTATCACGTGCTAATCATTTGCTGAACGTTGTTTACGAATGGTGACTCTTGGATTTAACTATTACTATAGATATGTAATATTTATTTATGTCGGTGAAACTACAGTGTCTTTTCCAACATATGGCCTATTTACTACAATTTGTTAAAATTAGCAGTGAATTTAAAAAAACAACACCCTGTTTAATTATAAGTAAATCTTGGTTAAAAGCATTTTAAAATTAACGGGGTGTTAATTTTCAAGTATGACATTTGGAACAGAAATTTTGTCTGTTAAATCGAGATCCACAAAATCGAGGGTTTACTGTATTCTCAAAAAAGTATAGGCTTTGTTTTAAAGATGAATGAACAGTTATGAAAATTTCTCTGAAAGAGTTTTAAAGTTAATTTTTTAATCAAAGAGCCAAATTAAATTGTTTTTCACTAATTTCCAGCTCTTCATTTTTGCCCCTTTGACAGGAATCTAAACTCTTTGCTGTTGTCTGGGTGATGTTTCAAACTTGATGATTTTTTTCTTTCAGGCAGATTTCAAACTGATGTGTGATAATGCAATGACATACAACAGACCAGACACTGTGTACTACAAGTTAGCTAAGAAGATCCTTCACGCAGGCTTTAAGATGATGAGCAAAGTAAGAAAGCCACTAATGGCGAGGAGCCACAGAAACGAGAGTTCTCCTCTACGTTGTTTATGCCTAAACAGAAACTCACAGTGAATGACATGCTTCCATCTTTCCGTCACTGGCCACGGCGTGGACCCCTCTGCTCTAGGGTAGACACCCCAGGCTGCCCCCTCATGTCCCTCTCCTCCAGGCACTCTCCTCTTCCTGTTTCTGCTCCTGCCCTAGCTGTAACGTCTCTGTTAGGGTGGGTGGGAGGTTCTGGATCTGTTGATCTCAAGTCTAGATATCTGTCTCTCTGGACTGCCGCTAGCCTTTTGGGTTTGTTTTGTATGGCTGCCTCACTGAATCAGCCAGGACATCCTGGCCATCCTGAGTGGCTTCCCAGATCTGTACTGTGAGCCATGTTGCATGTGTCACATGTCTAGGACCAGTGCCTTGCGCCTGATGAGCCTGTGGGTGAGGTGCAGCCCTGTGCCCTCTGGCCTGTTCCCCTCTGCCGGCTCTGAGCGCTCACCAGCTAATTCGCTGCACCCTTTGGTGCTGACCCCAAGACCACCTCCCGCTGCACTGCATGGAAAGTTAGCTGTTAGGCCAGGTGAGGCTGTGGCCATCCCCATCCCATCCCATCGTCATGGCGCCTTGGCTGTGAGGGAGAGGTAAAGTCGTGCTGCTCTGTCCTTTCTGATTCTAGGAGCGGCTGTTAGCTTTGAAGCGCAGCATGTCGTTTATGCAGGACATGGATTTTTCTCAGCAGGCAGCTCTTCTGGGCAACGAAGACACAGCTGTTGAGGAACCAGTTCCCGAAGTTGTACCTGTACAAGTAGAAACGGCTAAGAAATCCAAAAGGCCGAGTAGAGAAGTCATCAGGTAAAGAGAAGTGCACTCGCCTGTGGAGTAGGATGCCCATCTTGGGAAGGCGGGTGCTCCCTGGGAGAGCAGGTTAGGGACACCGGCCTGTGTTTCTGCTCTATCTCTGGAGTAGCTTAGGGACATGCTGCTTGTGCAGCCTGGTGGGCAGAGCACAGCTCCGCAGAAGCTTAGGTCTATGTTTGGAGGCACATGACCATCCTTCCTGCCCACCTTGAGAGTTAGGTGACCATCCTGTGTGGGTAATGAATGTCACCATTGTCACTGGAAGGTGTTGGAAGACCATGGGACCCCACAGTCAGTTCTGGGAGGAGTGATAGTTTGCTGTGTGACCCTACTCTGCTACAGCGAGCATAGTAACTTGTCCTGGAGGAGAGTCAGTGTCACACTGATGGACACAGAAGACAAAAGGGCTGAGATAATCCCTGCTGTATGCACACATGCTCTGTCCCAAGTGTGACACAGTGAGCTCATCTGTCCAGCCCTGCAGTATGTCTACTATCACTGCTGTTCCCACATGTGTCCTATTTATGAATATTTGTTGGCTCTACTTCCACGAAGCCTCCTTACATTCAGGACACCTGCTGGTGACCTGGGTTTGCCTGTCCCGGGCTCAGGGAACAAAATTGTGTCACGTTGGACAGACAATACACATGACAACATGCATTTCTCACCTTGCTCCCTGAGCTCCCTGCTCCTTTAGCTATGAATGCTGGTCTGGAGGAAGGGCCTTGCTATAAGCTCAGGATCCCTAGGCAGGACTTGATCCCATGGTTCCTTGAAGGGGTCCCACCCACTGCTTCTAGAACCTTCCACAGCAGAGGCCGTCTCCCTTCGGTGCTGCACCTCTCAGCTTTTTGAATCAAGAACTCTACTGGAACCTGAGGCTGGCCTGCTAAAGTCTTGGGGAGTCCCTTGTGCCTTGCAGTGGGGGCTGCTCTTCAGCCCAGCAAGCAGCCTTGTGTTCCCAGCCCCAGCTCACCACCAGCACCTCAACCCGCCACAGGATTTTTGCCACTTTTTCTAATGGTGCCTTGAATAATGCTTTAACCAGTGAGGCTCCTGTTATGTGATGTTTCTTCTGTTTTTCTTAAAGCAACTGAGGTGAGAAAGAAAGTTTACTTGGCTTACACTTTTCATCTTAGTGAAAGGGTCTTGTTTTAAGTGGTTAGAACTAAAAGGAAAGGGAGCAAAAGTGCACTTTGTGTCACTCCTACTGGCCCTTTGTGTGACTCTGGGGTGCAGTAGGGACTGACCACAGTGGGGAGGGATGAGGTGTGTGCTGTTGCTTCCTGGTGATGTGTGTGTTCCTGCCTTGTAGCTGCATGTTTGAGCCAGAAGGAAATGCTTGCAGCTTGACTGACAGCACAGCAGAAGAACATGTGCTGGCCTTGGTGGAGCACGCAGCAGATGAGGCTCGGGACAGGATCAACCGACTCCTTCCAGGTGGCAAGGTAGTGCTCCCTGGCTGGTGGGTATGTTTTCTGCCAGAACATTGGCACAGCCGTCAGAATCAAGATGTTAACGTCAGGATGTTACAAGTGTCTAGTCCAAACTCTGTTGCTTTCATGGAGTGAGCACATGCTACAATCAGGGTCAGCTCTTTGTCCTCACTAGCCATTGGAGCTACTGGCCCCATCTCATGGAGGCTAAAGGGATCCTCCAGATGCCTGGGCCAGGCGTTTGTTACCCTCCATCACACCGCGGCTGAGCCTGCCAGCTTCTCTGCTGCAGGTTTATTCTTTTCCCTGTGTGTACTCATGTCTGTGTGTGCCCCTGCAGTAACTCATAGGTCTGACCCTGTGTATTCACGTCTGGGTGCCCCTGCAGTCATTCATCGGTCTGACCCTGTGTACTCACGTCTGGGTGCCCCTGCAGTCATTCATGGGTCTGACCCAGTGTGGCAGGTGGGAGACTCTGTAGGGGCTGCTGGTTCTCAGGAAGAGGTTGCACCATTCTGTGACCATCTCCTCTCTGACACAAGAAGATGTTCTAGGCCAACATGTTCAGTAGAAATAATGCAAGTAACATATGCAGCTTTAAACTTCCTAGTAATTGTGTTAAAAGGACACAGGTGAAATTCTAATATGTTTTACTTGACCTGATATACCCAAGATCTTATTTCAACATGTTGACTGAACTATTTCACATTTTTTTCATACTAAATCTGTGAAATGCAGATTGTAAAGAATTTTGAAATGATAACTTTTCGGATACATTGGATTATATAAATTCTACTAGAGGGCCAGTGCATGAAATTTGTGCACGGGTAGAGTCCCTAGCAGCTGCCAGCTGCTGGCGGGGGCCTTCCTTCCATCTGCGCCGCCCCCTGGTGGTCAGCGCTCATCATAGCAAGCAATCAAACTGGGGATTAAGCTTGCAGCCCGGGCATTGCCCAGACCTGGAATTGAACTGTGACCACCATAGGTTGACACTCAACCACTGAGCCACACCAGCTGGGCTCTTTACTTATTTTTAACGTCACTGCTAGAAAGTTTGAGGTTCCCTTTGTGGCATATGCTGTTGTTCTGTTGGTGGTCTGCACCCCTGTTGCACTTCAGCTGTGGAATTGGCCATTTCCCAAAGATCCCTGTTTCTTTAGTGGAGAACAGTATTCAGAAACCCAGACCTAGGCATTGTGTGTGGTCCTCAGTGGATAGAGCTAGGAAAGGCCATTACATACAGCGTTTAGAAGGAACCTAGACCGATGTCTTTGTTTATATTCACCAAAACCCGTTTTTATACTGAACCTCGGATGCCATCCAGTATCCCCAGGCCTGCTTTATCTTTCTCCTTTTCGGTTTTGTAATTCCACAGTGAGAAACCTGAGGTGTGTTACCCTTAATATGCTTATTTGATCAAGAGTAACCAGTGTCACATCCCTATGCCCTACTCACACTGCTTGAGCTCTGTTTCCCCTTCCGGCCTTGCTGCTCCCATTCAGACATTCGGTTCCTGAATTTGGGCTCCAGCACCTGGACAGGTGGGCACCCTTCTCTACCTCTTCCCCCCACACACGACACACAGGTGCCTTCTCTTCCTTATTCTCCTCGTGTCCTGCAGAGGAGGAGTTGGTCTTATTTGCTGGTTGGTTTTTAAATGGAAATAGCTCCCATGTGCTTTAGAGATAGAGCCTCTAGGCTATTCGTTGATAACATGGCACTTGTTGACCAGTATCTTGTATTGATTGCTTTGTTGAGGCTTCTGACCAATTGTAAAAGGTTGTTCCTAGGTAAAGTTTTCTGTTTCAAAAGCTCCGTTTTAGAAGGTGTCATAAGGAGCTTTTCTAAGTTCTTTCATTGCAATCGTGTGCACTTTATTTGCAAGTGGGTCTTAAACTCCAGGGAAGGGTGTGAGAGGGGCCTCTGGTCTTTTTCATGGAGAAACAAGTGACCATTATGGCCTTTCAGGATTGTCCAAGTTAGGCATGTTCCTAGGCCTTTATTTTGTTGGAGCTTCAGTAGAAACCTCAGCTGTAGAAGCTCAGGGCTGTCACTCCTGGGGAGTGTGTACTCAGGCCTGCTTCCTTGCAGATGGGCTACCTGAAGAAGAGCGGAGATGGGAACCTGCTCTACAGCGTGGTCAACGCGGCTGAGCCCGATGCCGACGGTGGGTGGCCCTCTCAGGGCTGTTTTCTTCTTAGAGCCTTCACGCTGTTCTAACCTCTGTTCCTATTCAGTGATTTTAAAACATCTTAACCTGTTTGTGATGTCTATTTTCCCTGGCGTGTGTGACACTGGTGGTGAAGTATAGATGAGAAGTCCTTTTGGTTTCCTGTGCCTGCACACCCCTCACCACCACACCTGACTGAGGTGGTCGCAGTCGGGGCGGAGGTGTTGGCCAGACTTTTCTGACCGAGAGTCACTAGGACAGCCAGCAGGACTGGGATTGTGGTCCCGCAGAGCGGCGGATTGGGGCTGGGCTTCCTGGTGTATTGTGAGGGATCACCTCACAAGTTCACTGAGACCTCCTTTGTCAAAAACCAGAGTCCAACTCTGCCCCACTCTCAGGCTTGAGAGAGGTTACTACCCGCGCAAATACAAGTTTTAGAAGAAAAACCCCAGTTGATGATTAGATCAAGGACGATCTTGAAGGAGGCATAAATATTGGTTCCATCCTACCTGTATGTTCATTTTTGTAATCTTTCATCTGCTTGGAAAGATTTCAAAGGCTTGTCCTTTGAAGAAAAGCAAAACTCACTTGAATTGAATTCACACACACGTACACATACCTAGAAAATGAAATACTTTTCTTGGCCTTGCACCTAGTATAAACTCTGATCCGTTTCTTTGCTCTTTAGCCAGAATGAGTCTACTGTTCTTCCTAAGAGAATAGATGAGTTGACTAGCAGTTAACTTAGAAAGAGAACACAAGGTGGAGGTTCTGATTGGGCATTTGCAGAACCCTGTGCAGGTCACATGAATAGTGGGTGAATGATAGCTTCAGCATAGGAATGTGCAGCGGGAGGGTGTACAAAGGCAGGGACTCACTGTTGCTATTAGAACACATACAGCATTTCTCAGAGGTGCTGAGTGTTCAGTTTGAAAATGTTATGTTGCTGGTATCATGGTCTGAGAGCTGAAGGTTTTCATTTTGTTGACTTCGGGGTAATCATAAAGTGAAATTGGAGCGCAGTTAAGGTTTGAGAATTGTAGTTGGCATTTGTAAATTTGATGTTAGGTGGTCTTTATGGAAAGGCCCCGGGCTCTCTCTCCGACACATAGCTACTGTGAGTTGGAGAGAGTGCTGGAGGTGCTGTGTGGGCTGGGGGCTCCGCGAACGGCCGCTCACAGCTCTGGTCTTGCAGAGGAGGAGACCCACCCGGTGGACCTGAGCTCCCTCTCCAGCAAGCTGCTCCCCGGTTTCAGCTTCACCACTCTGGGCTTCAAAGATGAGAGAAGAAGCAAAGGTGAGTGCGGGGAGCGTCAGCGCAGAGGATCTTCCTCACTTACCTGTCTTTAGAACTGTATCCCGATTCTGATTTTGAAACCAGTAATAAAGACATTTGAAGTGATGGGAATAAAAATGACATTGGGCAAGTTCCTCCTTTGCCATTGGTTCTTGGGTCTCAGCCCTGCACTTCGTGGAATTCTCCAGATGAGCTGTTCCCGTGATAGCGGGGACTCTTGGGGCCAGGTGCTGGTGAACTGTGGTGGAAATTTAATGTCCTCCAACAGACTACATTTCATCCGCTTGGAGGGGTGGTGATGCTGCCTGCAGCCCAGAGAGATCTGTATGTGACTGTCTCCGGATAGAATGAGGGAGGGTTTGGTTGCATTGGCTGCATTTGTGGTTGGCTTTCTGGTTTGTTTTGGAGTGTCTGTTAGTATGTGTAGCTATTTTGTTCCCTGATGACATTTTGATTGTCATACTGGTGTGCTACTGGCATCTAGCAAGGAGAGGCCCAGGACACAGCCTTCCTGGCTCCTAACATATTCATGCAGAGGTCCCAGCTCATACCTCCTTCAGGGCAGCAACCCTCTGGTTCCTCCCCTCCCCCCCTTTTTTTGTTAATCCTCACCCAAGGATATTTTTCCATTGATTTTTAGAGTGTAAGGGATGGGGAGAGACACAGAGAGAAACATCAATGTGAGAGACAGCGATTGGTTGCTTCCTGCACATGCCCCAACTGGGGCTGCCTGCAACCGAGGCACATGTCTTTGACTGGAATTGAACGTGGGACCCTTCAGTCCTCGGGCCGACGCTCTATTTACTGAGTCAAACTCAGCCTTTACATTTCCTCAGCACAAGCCAGCCTCTGTAGGCCCAGGTCCTGGTGATGTCTGGGATGAGACATGAGCCAGCTCCAGGAAGCCCTTCTACTTGTCGGCCTCATTCCCTTACACAGCAGCCATTTGCCATGGAGGTAAAAAAAAAAAGGGGGGGTGATGAAGTGTTTCTGCTAGTTATGCCCCCAAAGCCTCCAATAGCTCAGCGGTACTCATTAGTTCAGCAAGAATTTCATAGAGGAGAAAGGGTGCTGCAGGGGGATGCAGTGTGCGAGTGTGGGTGACCAACACAAGGAGAAAGCTGGAGTGCATCTTATGCCGGATGTAATTTGATGTAAATCGGCTGTTTCTTATGCTTTCCCTTTTTATTTCACTCTTAGTCACGTTTCTCTCAAGTGCCAGTACTGCACTTTCAATGCATAATAATTCTGTATTTGGAGACTTGAAATCAGACGAAATGGAGCTTCTGTATTCTGCCTATGGAGATGAGACGGGTGTGCAGTGTGCGCTGAGGTAAGCTGTGCACAGAGACACGGGTGGGGTTCTTGCTGTGTGACAGGAGCCATTTCCCTACTGAGCAGTTCAGAGCCCATTTGTAGGCAAATGGGGGAGACAGTCACTGGCAGCAGGTTCAAATAGCAGAAATTTCCAAGTTTTTTTCAGTAAACTGTTTTGGTCTGCTGTAGGCTGGTCATGAAATTGTGGTAACTCGGTCACAATTTTAAGAAGGTGGTGATCCAAGCTATAGTTCAAAAAAGCATGTGTGTGTGTATGTGTAACTACCTGTATGTTTAATAGGAGTTTGTTTCACAATTGTATTGAGATGTGGTTCTTGTCGGCTGTATTAGTCAGCTTGGGCTGCATAACAAGCCCCACAGACAGAGCAGTGAACAATGACATCCATTGTCTCCTAGTCCCGGAGGCTGCAAGTCTGAGGCGCAGGTGTCAGCAGAACTGCTTTCTTCTGGGGCCTCTGTGTTGTCTCGTCCCTCTGTGTGTATCTTTGTCCAGATCTCCTTTTCCCATAACAACACCAATCATACAGAATTACGGGCCACCCTGAACACTTAATTTTAACTTGATCACCTTTTTAAAGGCCCTGTCTCCAAAAGCACTTATTCTGAGGTGTAGGGGGTTAGGACTTCAACCTATGAATTTTGGGGACTCGGTTCCAGCCCTAACAGAGACTGCGATGCAATATTAACATTATAGGTGTAGTACTCTTTTCTGTAGGACTGTGTTTAGTGTGTATTTTTTGTTTTCTGTGGAAAAATAGAAATTGGTCACTTTTGTAGAATTTTAGTAATTCTCTATGGAAAAAGTAACTCAGTTTTACTATAGTCTCTAAGAAATGGAATCTTTTCATACTATATCTTTGTTTTATTTTTCAAAGAAACAGAACATATGAAAAATAAAAAAGTCAACTCCTCATGCAGTAAATGAATACCTAGCCCATATTTTTGTGAGAAAAAAAGGAAAAGCAGAAAAATGAGGAAATTTCTTATAGGAGAGAGTGGTATAAGTTGGTGACCCTCTCTCCACTCCTGCTTAACCTGGCAGCATCTCAACAGCTCTTCAGGGGCACCAATCAGCTTTTGTTCAGGTAGCACCATGTAGCTGGGCGATGCTTGCTTCTCCAAGGGCGTTCCTGAAATGCATACAGATTCTGTCTGCCATACAGTGAAAGTCAACGCATGAGCACACTTCAAGGCAGACAGGCAGGGCCCCACACCACTACTAGACGCCCCACACCACCTTCCCCCAGACCCTTTGTCCTGAGCACTTTCAGCCCCGCTGTGAGTGGAGTGTTCTGGCCAGTCCCTGTCCCCTCTCAGCGGTCAGTGTGGTGGTTTCTCATAAAATGTTTCTGGTAGAGACTCTGGTGGTGCCGCTTCTGTCCAGGAGCCCTCCTGGCTCTGTGGAGCCTTTGCCTGGCTTTGATGCTAGGACCATAGGTTTTCCATTTGCTGCGTCCTTTACATTCTTTGGTAGTTTTATTTAGTTTTTAAAGCATTCACCTGGCCCAAAAATCAAAGTGAAACTAAAAGGTGTCCTTGGGGAGCCTGGCCTCCACAACTGCTCCCTCCCCTCTTCAGTAAGAGCTATTTACACTATGCACCTCCTCAACCTACTTGTATTTTAGAACCCAAAACAAATAGCTATGAACGTGCTTTTACAAAGCTAGCAAACGTCATCGTGTGTATGTATATACACTATTCTTCACTTTGCTTTTAAAAATTGAGATCTTTCTAACTTTTTTGGGTCATGGACCACTTTGAGGATCTGATGAAGTTTGTTGCTCCATTTCCGCTATCTACCACCTCTGGGAGGTTTGCAGCTCTGAGGAAGACCCTCTCTGGGAGGAGCGGCTGAGGTGTACTGATGTCACAGGCTTCTGCTCAGGACTGCTGGCATTGGTAACAGCAGGGTCTGGAAGATGAGAGCACGTAGCGTTTGTGTCAGCATGTTCTCTCCTGGCCCTTTCCAGCCTGCAGGAGTTTGTGAAGGATGCTGGGAGCTACAGCAAGAGAATGGTGGATGACCTTCTGGACCAGATCACAGGCGGAGACCACTCCCGCATGCTCTTCCAGCTGAGGCAGGTGGGCTGTGCTGTGGTGCCACTCCTGTAGAAGGGCCCATCCAAACAGCTGGATTCTCAGGGAAGAATGCTGTTTTTAGGTCATCCATCACAGTTCTTACATTATGTTTCTGTTGGACAAGGCTGGTCTGGATTTCATTTTCTTCCTTTAAAGAATGTTTATGTTCATTTTGGCAGAGATGTTACTTCTGAATGACCTGATCTTTTTGATACTTATTTTTCTGCTTAGAAATTTATGAAAAACATACCATAAATAAATCTCAGAAACATTATTTTGAACAAGAGGTCCCAGATACAAATATGTACAAACTGAATGGCTAATTTTTGGGGATATATGCAGGACTAGAGTATTTTTTTAAGAGAATGCTCCTGCCAGATTATAGAACAGTGGCTCAGTGCAGCATTCAGACTTTAGTCACATGTAGTAGTCAAGCATAAGCCCTCTTCCAGGTACCGTACAGGCCAAGGAGAGGGGCGTATGGCTCCATAGCTCTGCCCATTCGAGGGCAGTGGCACCATCAGGCACCCTGCCTCTGTCAGAATTCCAGCTGGTCTTGTGCGACTCTTCCAGGTTAAATCACCAGGCCTGGTATTTTCCTGAGCTGCCCTGGAGACCCAGGGTGCAACATCTGGCTTTTTTATTTTATGCCATGCAAAGCTGCAGAAACAAGGTTGAGTGTCCTCTCACCCCTTCATCTGACTCCCCCCCGTGCTCTCATGGGCACTCAAGCCCCTACCTCTCCCCTGGGAACCATAGCTGGTGCTGCATGACTGGGGCCTTCAGTGGTGGAGTTAGCTGTCTCACACTTCCAGTTGCACAGAAGTAGGCCCAGCTCAGAGTCACGATATACTGGGAACATAATGAACACAGCCGGAGAGTATTATCCTATATAAAATCACTTGGAAAAACTGATTTCCTGCCTGTTTTGCTTTGCAGAGGAGAAATGTCGCGATGAAGCCATCAGATGAAGTAAAGGTGAGTTCCATGGACATGTAAGTAAAAAGGGTTCTAGGAAGGCAGTTGTGCTCTGCCTTTGAAATGGGATGGTTGAGAAGAGCTTCATGTAATTGTCTTATTTAGAAACTGATTAAGTTTCTATTGAGTAAGAATAAGTGGTAGTCTCTTTCCACCCCCTGATTTTTAATGGCTTAGGGCAGCAGTTCTCAACCTGTGGGTTGTGACCCCTTTGGCGGTCGAACGACTGTTTCACAGAGGTTGCCTAAGACCATCCTGCATATCAGATATTTCCATTACGATTCATAACAGTAGCAACATTACAGTTAGGAAGTAGCAACGAAAATAATTTTATGGTTGGGTCACAACATGAGGAACTGTGTTTAAAGGGCCAGAAGGTTGAGAACACTGGTTTAGGGTGAGGGATATAAAGCCACAGTACATTCCTCCAAATACAGACTCATGTATTCACAGGTGCCAGGCAGGGAGGGCCTGCTCTGGGGCCTGCAGGGCATGTAGCAAACACTGTCTCTGCAGTGGGTTCTTCCAGTCCTGGAAGGTATGTGCCATCAGCTGGGTGCATGTGCACTGCACACTTGTGAGAGCAGCTTGGCAGGTCTAGGTCATCGGGACCTCACCGCGCCTACTTTAGACGGTCTCTGTTTGTGGTTCCTCCCCCACCCTCCTTTCCTGTTTCTTGGGAATGACTTGGAGCACATGTTGAAGTGGACATGCCAGGACACTGAGCAGAGCATTGGGGCCTGGGCCACAGTTGTTACCTGGGCTTGGTGGTTGGAGGGCTTGCCTGGGGCACAAGGATCGGGTACCAGGCAGGTGAGGCTTGTTGAGTGATAGATCAGAGAAGGTGACATGGGATCTCCCCGGAGGGTGTGTTGCCCAGTGCGGCTGGGTACGTGAGGCAGTCAGGTTCTGCTCAGGGTCTCTGTTCCTGAGCAGAACCCCTTGAGGGGTTCTGAAAAGTCCACAACTGTCTCTGAAAAGTCCACAACTGTCTTTCAGGGACTTCACTTAACAAGTAATGTGGCAGATTCCAGAACATGCTCTTTCCTTCTCCCGGTGAGCCTGTGGGATCACAGACTGCAGTCTAGTTACGCAGTTATGCAGATGCCCCTTGGGGTAGAGTGCAATCCCCACACTCATCTTGTAAAACCTGGGATGCACAGCAAGCTGCCTTGAGCTGGGAGCCTGGCACACGCGCCTGGCTTGCTGCCAGGGCCTCCATAGGCAGAGGGTTTCACATGAAGGCCAAGATAGCCCCACAGGCACAGGGATCGTAGGCCTGGTGCCCTCTTGCTCGGGAGCAGGAGCCTCTCTTCCAGTCACTGTGAGCCACTGGGTGGAGGTGGACACCTCTCCCTACTGTTCATGCTGGCGGAGGTCCTGTCTGAGTCCTGGGAGAGTGCTAAGGGTCAGTGGGGGGAGCATAAAAGGCATCCGTACGAGCCAGGCCCACTGACTCAGCATCTGTCATGTGGAACTTTTGTTTCTTAACTATTTGGTAAGGAAATTATCACTCCAGCCTGTCAGTTGGGGAGGGTACTGTCATTTGACACTAAATTGTCTAGTAATGACTTAGGATTCAGCACCCATGTAAGAGTATGTGATTTGGCAGAATTTTGAGGGCCTTAAAATACTAGAGAATACCCTTCAAATATTAAAATATGCTATATGTTAATCCTAAAATTCTTATAGCCTGAGAGCAGCAAATTGCATGGAAGAAAATGG